CCCTAAATGACCCCATATATTCCCTACCTCACCCCTATAAAACCTTACATAAATCCATACAATTCCCATAATAGCCCTAGCCTTGTTATACGCCTGACAGCACCATGGTCCTTTCTAGACTTCTCCGCCTGCATAGACGGATGGATATAGATATAAGACGATATAAGTATATAAATATCTATACGTATACATGTATTTTTCCTTTATGTCCCTCTATATCTTTACGTACCCCCCATGCATACCCAACGGTAAAAGGGCCCCTATACCCTAAAACCCTCGACCCTAAACTCCAAACCCAAAAGCCTAAACCCTAAACTCTAAACCCTAAACCCTATGCGCCTAAACCCTATAAACCCTATAAGCCCTATGTTTCAGAATCTGCAACCCGAGAGCCCAGTGCTGCGATAAGGCCCACGCCGCAGTCCCAAGGGCGCCAAGCTTAGGATTCTGCCGGCTTTAGGTCTTTTGGCTTTGGGACTTAGGGTTTAGGTCTTTTGATTTTAGGCTTTGGGGGTTTCGGGTTTACGTTTTAGGGTTTAGGATGAAGTTGTTGTTTGGTTTTAGGGTTTCAGGGTTTGGGCTTTGGGCTTGTGGGTTTAGGGTGTTAGGATTTAGGGCTTTAGGTTCTAGAGTTTTAAGGGTTTAGGGTGTAGGGCTTTTGGATTTCAGGGTTTAGGGTTGGGTTTTGGTGTAGGGTGTAGGGGTCTAGGATTTAAGGGTTTGGGGGGCTATACCTATGCTGGGTCAGACTCAGCGTATTTTACATCGGGGTTTCTGACAACAGGGTGCCCCTACGAACCCCAGAGATGTAATGAAGACGATATCAGGGCTATACAAATCCGTAGACCCAAGGATCAAGATAGTACATTTGGGACGGTAAAATAACCCCGCGCCTCTTCGCGTAGAATTGGTGGGCCCCTTAAGTTTTTGTCCCTTTCATAAAAAGTCTTTACCGATAACCGGAGGAAAATTACCGATAAGGACAATTCCTTTATAAGTAGTTCGGTCAGAGGATTCTTTCATTCCCGGTGATGTTTTTAACCGATAACGGTACCGATAACCTACCGATAACACGTTTGAGCACTTGAGACCCCTCGGAAGCCCATGGCCCCGGCCAAGGCTGTACAGTGATGCGACTTAACTCGCCC